GCTTATAAAACAGTTTTTAATTACAGAAATGGAAATTGAAAAGGTAAGCTTAACTGTATGGACACAAAGGATGTGGAAGTCCACAGTCTGAATGCTTTTAATGTAATCTGTTAGTATTATCTTTTATTCACATATACGGAAGCAAATTTACAAAGAACCTTCTCAGCTGATGTTTACAAAATAAAGCTGTTTTTTCCACATCCTAGAGAATATAACATGTAAGGATGCCACATTAAGTCATGGCTTTTAAATGGTATAGAATAAAAACATTACTTTTCAGAAAACATTTAGGATAGATGCAAAGGCATCTTACAAAGGATCTTACTGGCTTTTTATCAGGATTTAAACTAAATGTAGTGTGAAAAGCAAAATAAGGTTACATTTTAACCTACATCTGCACATGTAAGTATTTTCTGGAAGATGTGTATGGTCATCAGTTGTCTCTCACCAGTCCCTATGTAACAGAGTAAGTAAAAGACAGCATAGAAAGGACAGAATTGCAGTTAAAACACTCAAACCTCTTAACTCAAAAATATATTAACCTGCAAACAAAGTACCTCACAACATTCATTGTTCCACAACTTGATGTGCTACATCCCAAAGATGGAAGAGATTAGGATACAAGTAATTAGGAAAGTAACAATATAAATATCACACATATAAAATGCATGTGTGTGTGTGTATGTATATATATACACATACACATTACACAGGCATACACAAATACATACACACATGAGACAGCAGTTAATACATTCAAATACCTACGCATAAGGCGACTGTTAAGCTGCACAAAGTGCAGCCAATAACTGTTAACACTGAAAGTTGCTTCAAACTTTAGGGAAGTAATTAACCTCCTGGCCCCCAGTTTTCAAGCCCAAGGAGCAGACCATAGAATTTCTTTTACAATTTATGAACGAGCCAAGGAATTTATATCACAGTCAGAGGATTCTTTTGCTGAATTAACCCCAGCTCCCTCTGACCCTAAGAAGTCATAAACCAACAGGATATAGCAAAGGGAAAATGTGCTATAGTGTTTCAGCTGACCTACAGAGCGCTGTCTCTGTCATGCCAAGGCTGGAAACCCAGATGATGAATTACAGAGCAATATGCTAGGTTCAGATGCAAACATCAACCCTGTCCCCCTGTACATGCACACACAGACATGTTCACTCACCCCAAACCAGCTCAGTTTCTGCAAAAGACTAAGTACTGTTAGGGCTCATTTAGAGAGTCTAACTCTAAGACAAAAGAGGGAAGAAAATTCCTTCTCGAGGAAGCATGCATACGTCTGTGAGTAACAATATTTAAGAACACATGCTGCATATTAAATAAAAGCCAAAACCCACTGAGCTTCTCTTTTTGTACATGGACTATGAAGGATATCAAAAACACAATTCCAAAGCAGAACAAGGAGCATACTCAAGAACCTCGACTTTTATAAAGAACAGCTTTATAAATAAACAAACAGATAGATAAAAATTGATACACAGCTCTCTTTACAAGAACTCTGCCAGGCTTTATTTTGTAAATACAGAACAAAGCCTCTTATACAAAGTAGCTAATAAAACAAAGTCTAGCTAACCACATGTACAGAAAATGGGATAACACAAATGTCTGCACCAGGATCTCAAATCTAATCTGCTGTAATCACTAAGACACAAAGATCTTTGCAACATTTACACTTATGGTGTACTGCTTAGTTGCACCAAAAGCTTAAGCTTAGCCCCCACTGAAGGCCTATTTACAAAGATGAATAATCTCTTGAAAACAAACAGTTGCTGGTTGTTTCACTTCTACCTCAGAATAAAAAGTGATACTTAGAAGTCTGATGAGAAAAAACCAAGGGCATAGTTTTGGATTAATTCAAAACCACAGAAATTAATAGATACCAAGAGCATGATGTATTCAACACTGCAACATTTAGAAACTGAGCATCCATCACTGAGTAAGATAAGCTTGTGGTTCCACTGCTTGATGAACTGAACATTTCTTACTGCTCAGAAAATCCCTGAAAAGCTTTCAAGGATTTTCACGATGCAGTGAACTTTATTACTAAAAGTAAATGAATATTCAACTTTTTTTGTACTATTTGCAGATGACACAGATTCCATTCACCAACTCCTCTTACTTTCTTTCGAAATGATGCAAGCTATGCCTTGAAAGTTATGCTTCCTTCAGGCCCACCGAACAACAGTTTCTTCTTGTGATTAGTCTGCATGTATTATGATCATCAACAGTTTGGCTGAAGTCTTCAGGTACAGCAAAAGTCAAAAACTACCTCTCCAAAAGTACAACATGAATCTAACTATGGCATTTTCTCATGAAACCTCACATAAGGCATTCTGCCATATAACTTTATTTTTTTTTCTTTTAGCCACAAGTCATAACTTAGCAGCAACTCCCCCCTCTTTTTTTTTTCCCCCCCTTCCTTTTTTTTTTGTCCCCCCACATTTCATCAGGATAATCAAGAAATGGTCAGGAATCATAATAGAATGATGTCAAAAACAACCATGAAAAGGTACTTCAGTCGATTCTCACGGTGAAGGATGTGAATCACAATTCTTCACCAAGACTGTGACTGACATCACAATAGCAGCCAGACTGGAAGAGGAAAGGATCAGAGTTTATCTGTCACAGACAGCTCTAAATTATTTTAGCAAGGCATTTTTCCTAAACTAGTAACACTCTTTAAAATTAGTGCTTCTAGTTTTTTTAGGAAAAGAAAGAGGCCCTGAAAGTTCCCCTCCTTCTGCAGTACTATTTCTCATAAGTTGTTTTCACACTGCATATTCCCTTAATGACAATCTGTATCATCTCCTGGCAAGCTATTTTCTCCAACCATATTTAATTTACAAGTGTACTGGAAATCTTCAGTGCCTTTCTATTTCAAGTAAGTTCAAAGTGCCATCATTTACTGTTTCTCATATGATAGTGGCTACAAGTTTCACAATGCTCCATAGTCAAGGTTAGAGGTCTCTGGTGTGTGGTTTCAGGAAACTCACCTTAGCCTAACTCCTAAATTTAGGAAAGCCTGCTTGAGAGAACAGAAACATTAAATGTAACTGTCAGCAGCACATGTGTGAAAAGCATCTTCCCAAGAACTATCTGCATTATCAACTTGAAAAACCAGGGCCTGCCTTTCTCTGTGCAAACTGGTGTATAACATCAATAGTACACAGAAAATATGCCTAAAGTTTAAGGAAAGGGCCTGTGAAATAAGAAAAAAACAAAAGCATCAGACTAGTAAAAGCAGTAAAGCAGACTTGCCTGCAAAAAACCACTGGAATAGGAATCCAGAGATTTTAACAAAGAATTAGAGTAACATTTTTATATTCTTTTAAGCATTCTGGAAGGGGAACAAATAAAAGAAAGCGAAAAACACCCACCACTATAAAAGTCCTAATTTCCATTAAAGTCTAGTATGTCTCAATATCAGAAAACTAAAGGGTCATGTAGTTCCTTCACAGGATGGCAACGTGAAGGGAATTAAAACAGGAAAATAACTTCATGAAAAAACTTAACAGAGATTAGAAATCAAGGCTGTCATATTCATAGAAATATGAATATATCCTTTTATTCATGTCTAATCTGATTCATTAAAGTACAGCCCAGTGATTGGTCCTTCCAAAACAGTCTCCAAGGATCCTCTAAATCCGTATACCACATGCTCCGTAACTGTTGGGTTTGTTTGGTTTTTTCCCTTCCTCTTCTCTGCATCTTCAGGAAGTCAAAACAGGAAGAGAAACCTCACATCTTACAGGACAGAAGACTGAAGAGAAGGACAGAACAGATGAGATTGTGCAGGAAGGACTCTGAAAGGAAGAGTTGAGGAAGAAATAACCAGAATAAAGAGGAGGAATGGGCCAAACTGCTGCGTTGCAATTCTAGGTCTTGCCAGCTTTGACCTTCAGTGTCTTTTGTGTCTGATTATAGAGTATATGCGAACCACCTGAGCGGAATGCATATACAGAAGCTTATATATATATATGTCTTTATACAGTTACTATGAGGGATAAATGTTCCAAACATGGAATACAGAATACAAGCTAAAGATAAAAGTCAATTTTAGCCTTTTAGATTGCATGAAAAGGATAAAAAACTGCTCGTGTCTATAGCAGTCAAATCAAAAAATCACAATATATCAGAAATCAGTAAAACCTGTAATCTTAAAAGGGGGTCCTGATAGACTGGTGGAATTGAGACTTTTCCAAACATAGTAGAAAGCCAAATGATTAAAAACAGCAATTCTATCATCTCCCTGCAAATCAAATTTGCTTATGCAAAGTGAATGGAATGTCATAAGAAGGCTATCTGTTAACTGATCCTTTGACTGCCAAAGGCAAATCTATACGATTTTATGTTGGAAACAAATTATCACAAAGAAATCCCTTTCAGCTGGCTGCCACTTATTTGAACTAAAGTGTAAACTCACAAGATGAAACCTATCAACATGACAACACGACCAAAGTATTTTCAATGTGTTTACAAAAGCACATACATCACACAATACGGAAACAGTAATGCAATATGGGTGGCAATATAAAATAAGTCACGTAACTCAGACCCAGAAACGTTAGGAGACCAGCAGATTGAGTCAGATGTTGCAACAGAAAATAAATTTTGAGTTAAAGCATACTCAAGGTAGAACATTCTAATTTGCCTAACATGCAGGTTGTGGTAAGGTCAGAAGTGACATTAATATGAAATCAGATGATTCAAAACACCTTAGCAGCCAAAGAGATGAACTCATATTGTATATACATATAAATATTTGTGTATATATACACACACACACACATATTCATACATAATTACAGTTGAGAATAGAATCTGGTTTTGCACATTAAGCAGGTAAAATATCTGAAAGAGATGCTCTGTTAGGCCTACCTGTAAATTGGCATTTCTGTTTGTAGACAGACAGATTGTGGATGTACTTACAGATACATTGTTATGTATTTAGAAAGCTTCTCTGTTCATCACCATAAACAACACTGTACCTGTATGGCTTCGAATATGAACTCTCAGCGTTCCATTGCTTGCAAACTTCTGTCCGCAATATGGGCAGATTTTCTCTTTTTCTCCTGTGTGAGTCTATACAGGGTAGGGAA